GTTGCCAGTGATGAAGAAGGTCGCTTTTGCGTCGTACTTTTTGAACAAATCCAGGATAGTTGTGGTCGTGTCTTTCATTGGTCCGTCATCGTAAGTGATAGCGACCTGACCCGGGTCTTTACAAGCCCAGAATCCACCATAGATACCGTTACCTCCATAGGGAACTGAGCCAATCTTTGCTCGGGGGATGGACTCGGTACTCTCGCCAGCTGGCTTCTGATTCTCCGGACAGCCAGGCCCGTAGTTGTATTGGCAGCCGGGAGAGGAGCAATAACTAGAATTGGAGCCACAGTCTGCCTGTTTCAGTACAATATCATCGTGGTGCTCAATTTACGTACAGCCAGCTGTTGAACAGCAGCCTCTATCTTCAGGGCATGATCCAATACCCTCGCCGCATTCTTTGGGACTTGCGCGTGCCTCCAAGGCCGATTTTATATGTGAGTCGATGCCGAAAGTTCCAGTCTTGAAGCTGGCGAGCAAGGCATTGATCCTTTTGTCATGAGATTGGATCTGCGGCAGTCCAAAGCCACCATGAGCATTTGCGAAAGATGAGAGAGCCGCTGCAGCCGCGACAGTGATGGAGAGGCGCATCGTGCGAGCCGAACAAGTCGAAATTTGATTGATGTACAGTATTGTATAAGCGAGCGAGCGGATGTGTGAGCGCAACTGCTAGACAGTTTATCGCGTCGTAAGCTCCAAACGAGTGTCGTGCCGTGGCATAAAGAACGTTATGAGCCCGAGGAGGAGGAACAGAGGAAACAGTAGGACACGATGCGTGACAGATGCAAGACATAAAGGGCCAACGGCCGAAAGCCAGAAGGATGCCTCGCTTGCAAGGCAATACCAATTTCTTCTCGCACCATAGCCGAAGCGGGAACTCGCAGCGGAGAAGTTGAATATGGTCACTGGTGGCCTAAGAAAGGAAGGCTGGAAAGATCTTAGACTCTACTTAGTGTAAGGCCGCCTGGTTCCACACGGCAGCCACGAGGTGTGGGTTTGTAGATGGCATCATTGTCAAGGCGCTGCGTCCAGCCCTGGAGGTTGCCAAGCTGCGTCTCTCTGCAAAGTGGGTGGTGGAAAAGTGCTTTAAAGATCGTTGCACTATCAACATTGTTGGCGGCTAAGGGCTTGAGTTTCTGTCAGTTGCAACCCGCGGCACGACCAAGGTGTCATCTAGCGTCGCCTTCTCTTCGTATGTGCACTCGAGATCGGATTCAATCTCATCGTTAGATTTAATGGTAAAACCGGTGAGCTAAATTAGGCAGACGCTGAGTGCTTGGCTTGTTGTTATTGCTGCTAAGCTTGATCAGAGCTGCTAGCAGGTGTTGAGTTGAACGATGATAGGTGTCAATTTCATGAACAGTCAGGGGTTTCCGCTCGTGCCCCTGACTAGTCTCGGTTGCGCGGTGGTAAAGATAGCGAGGCACGGACAAATCCGAGCGAGCCGTGACTAAATGAGCAGCTCCGCTTCTCTTAGTTTGAGACTAACACATGTCAGAGCCTGAGGTGTTCGCCCTATCTTTGAGTCACGCACACAACAGAGACTTCTACATCTTCTACTACCACTGTCGCGCTTATCAGCTCTTTCATCGTAGCGAGACACAAATTTCCCTATCAGCACTGCTTACTCGAATCCGGCAGGCTTCCTAGCACCTAACCAACCACTATCTAAATGCGCTTGGCCGGCCATCTGCATACTTGTCTTACTGACCGTGTGCTGTGTTTCTAGGCTTGTAGAGGCGTGTCGCCTCATTTGTCGCGTCCGCTGTACATACAGTGTCCCCCCAACGCTCGTCATCGTCCACGTATTCCTGATCCCCACGTACCCAAGAATCGGCGTCTGCTCTATATACTCGATGGTTTTGGTGGCTAGCTGCGGCATGCTCAAGGTGATTCCCAAACTGTGTTATTCGAATAGTTTGGCGAAGATGCGGTTCTGGAGGTTCTTGCACTTGCTTCAGCGGAGAAGGGTGTGGGTGACGGTCCTCCGCCGCTCTCCACACCTTCAACGGGGGGCTAGTGATGTCCGGAGCCTATTGATTAAATAAGGAGTCGTCGCGACCGATCTTCTCGGTCCGCAGCTGTTTCGGCAGTGCGCTCTCCCGCTTTTTGAGCTCTCGTGGAGTTGCAGCACCTCCTTGGTGGGTGTGGACGTGTGTATGTCGCGCGGTCTTTTTTGTCATCCCTTCATGCGCGAATCCACTGCCGCTCTGCCTACGTCTTGCGCCGACTTCTGATTGTTCTTCTGAGTGGATGTAGCTGTGCAAGCGGGTCTGCTGTGGCTGGCAGCCTCGTCTATCGCGATATCTCATCATTGTGATGCAACCCTCAATAGCAAGCGCAGATGAAAAGATTAAGTCAGTGTGCAAGAGTGTCCCTGTACGAACTGCATGTGAGACATATACTAACTTGGTCCATGCACCACTGCGGTGGGTGGCAGCATGAGGCGTTGACAATCCGCGACGTAGCCGGCGAAGGCTATGCAAACGAAGACATTAATGATCTCAACGTCGTTAGCAAATCTGCGGTACCCGATATCGAGTGCGACAAATCTAGCATGAAGTAGCTACTTCTGTCACGAGATAAGTATACACAGAAGGAAGATAGACGCAAAGTACGATGGCTGCATCTAACTGTTGAAGCTTGCGGGTAGAGCCGCGTTGGATTACCCCGCGACGATGTACCCTGTCTATGCGCGTAATACCTAAGCTCGGCCCTTTTACGAAGATATTGGAGTCGGTTTCCACACGATCAAAGTATGTCCGCTCACGAATCACATCTGTACAATGTTGGGATACTGAAAGGTAATTATTTCTTGGGTTCTACAGAAACGAGAAAGCGGCTGTCATCTATCAGACGAGCGCTATACGAAACCTTCACTACTGGTTCGCGCGAAAGGCGACTGTCGCCAATGAGTTTCGTCTGTTGCCTGATGGCCTCGACGCGATCACTCAGGGATTTGAGCTCTATCGCTAGAGCAGATACTTGTGTGAAAGTATTGTATACAAACGCCAGAAGAGCGCTCCTCCAGACGCAGACGCGAAACCAATCAAGAGAGTACTCAGTAGTACGGTCAGTGTTAGCAATTACCACTATTTCGCCACGTCATCGCGTTTTATGACCTCTCCAGTCTCACTAGCGATCCATATCCATACGGACCTTAGATGCTACATCGCCTTATACCAAATCACATAGACTCCAAGATCCTGTCGAAACCCGATGCAACTCGGTAAGAAGGTGCAAAATGACTGCATGTCTACTCTGCATTTCTCAGAATCATCGCACGATCATGTTGTTGATGAGAGAGGCTGATGGCAACTGTGGACGATATCCTTGCGGAGTGGAGGCCGAGCGTACGCCGATCTTGAAAACGCTCTGTTCCATCCAGAGTGAGACTGATTCTACCTAGCAGCATTAACTCCATCTGTAGAAGGGCGCGATGGACTGGAAGGTGGGGGGCGAACGAAAGGGCCAAGACGGAATGACGGCAGTACCCGAGACAAAGCAAAACAAGACGCCATCGGTTGGGAGGTGAAGGGTGAGCGAAACAGCCAAGACGGGATGAAGGGAGTACCCGAGATAAAGCAAAACAAGGGACTGGAAGAAAGCAGGCGAATAGCAAAGGAATGAAAGATCAACGGCCGAAATCAAAGCAGAGAAAGGAGCGCGCATTGGTGTGGGAGGGCAGACTAAACAAGGATGTTGCCAGCGCGTCGTACCGCCTCTAATCTGCGTTGTGTCTACAGTCAGTGCCAGCCCCAAAGGGGGTAATGGGCTTCAGAGATGACGCAGACAGCGTGATGTGGCTGGAGCATTCTAGATCACCTGCATCTTTTCCTTGCTTGCTTTTGCTGATCTCAGCTCAATGCCAAGACCTGCTCGCTGATTGCCAGACATCGATATAATGTGATTGGTCGAGGTCTAAAGAGTATTGTTAGATCGCAACTTTGTAGAAAAACACCAAGTCCGCTGAAGAGACAGCTAGTGTGGTAGCTACGCATGTCGGCTGGGTTCACATGCACAAAGCTACACCGGTAGTCGTTCGAGAGTTGAAATCTAGATACAAAGCCCATCTTTTCGCACCAATACGGTGCTTGATCTAAAGTTGGTGTGCACCCCTTTCATTCTTGTGTATGTACAAAATGAAGGCTAATGTAACGTAGAAGCGTACTACCGCTGGGCTATCACTTCCGAGTACGACTTAGCTTCCGATAACGAATCTAACGGTGGTGTAACAAGAGCATCTGCTCCACATCTGGTCGTTGCGGCTCTCTCCGTTGACCGTCATGTAGTTGACGGCTCATGGTTGAACGTAGGCTCTGCTGTACGGATTGGTATTCTACGATTACCATGTAAGCTTGTGTTCACCCCATTAGTTTGATGATCAGCTTTGGTGTTCCTTCGTATCATGAATCTATAGTATTTTGGACAACGGACTCAACAGCTCGGGCTCGACTATCGAATCCTTCCTGCCTAATGAGTCTTGAGACCCACCCTTAAGCACTCCTCGTCCTTCTAATCACTTAGGCCTCTACAGAAGAGGTATAGATGATCACCTGCTTGTATATGTTTTGCAGTCATGTGCTTCTAGTTGCAGGAGCGAGCTTGTTGAGAGAGATTCTAACCTTCTATGGAACCAATCCCACGTAGAGGATGCAAACTTGAACAGAGAGAAAGCCTCGAGCCTGACGACTGAGATGTGCATGTACATTCCAATGCCTTGGCGAAAAAAAAGGCTGTGCATTACAGCTTAACGTATGCGTGATAACGACGCAGTCTTTGTTTTATCCGGTTGCTAACACAGGCGAACAGTCTTCCTATGAGCCGAGATCGGAGGTAGCACCCGGCGGATACACAAGATGCTTGAGTCTACATATCTGATTAACAAACATCATCGCACAACACATCAAATTCATCAAAACCATCTTGTAGTCGCAATTGGAGATATCTTTCTTGTTTAAAGAACCCACCCTACCTTTGCCATAACGAACATCTTCATTATGGCTCCGCACAGCCTTGACCTCGAGGATGATATGACAGCCGTTGAGGAGATCCACACCAAAGAATCCAAGACTGGAGATGATATGATGACTACTGCATCAGATCATATGCCAAAATACATGCATTACAGGCCTTCAGGGCAGGATTTCGTAGGGCAGCAGGTCATGCCTCTCTACGCCGATGGCAACTGGTGGCTAACTGCTTACCACGATGTCTACTTTGTCCAAGAGGACTGGGTTGAACAATTCACCATCCATAACGACCTGGACAAAACGATTCACGAGACAAGGAGACTCGAGCGTGGCAGTCGTGTGATCAAGGGGACTGAACTCATGACTGGCGTCACTGCCGGCGCAGGTTTCTCTGGATGGGGATTCAGCATGAATGTTGGCGCGACTGTCGAGAACAAAACGTTTCAGTCAAACGAGACATCGGAAGTTCAAGGATACGAGCGAACCTTTGAAGTCGAACCGAAGAAGAGTCTCTTCGCATACCAAAAGGTATACACCTTTAAGCTGAGAGTGTGGTTCATCTGGAGGGACAAGAATCAGTTCGGTGGGAAAGATCTGGTCTATGCGTACAGCTCCGCAGGTGACGCTGTCATCAAAGAATGCGTCCAGACCATTTCATGCGACCAATGGTACTATAGCAACGAAAAACTAGGATCCGCAACAGTCAACGTTACGATCCCATATCCTAACCCTACCCCGCGAGAACCTAGAGGAGCTGTGTGTCAGTGGAAGAACATGAACGGCGCTTCGCAGCACCAGATAAGAACCAAATACCCATCTGCTGCAAAATAAGGGAGGGGGGAGCAAAGGGCAGATTCTGTAGTCGTTATCTTAGTCTGTTTTCAACACCAGGCTTCGAAGGCATAAAATGGACTTCAACACCAACATGCCGTTAGTACGTCTAGTTCAAATAAAAAACTAAAGAATACGATCCATTCTTGTCAACTTTGTCTTCCAACCTAGATTTGCGTTTTGAGACAGTGCTGGGTTTAGTTAACGTCCAGTTCTAAGACATTAATAGCCCTGCATAAGTATTGAAGCTAGTTGGTTTGTAAAGAAAAGCTAGTAGTGTACGATACCAAACAACCCCTAGAGATGTCCAGTGTCAAAATCGCAAGCTATGAACAGAGCCGAAGCTCATCCTCACATCCAAGGATGCCTATCGGCTTCATTAGTGAGCAAGCTAAAAGATCCAGCGTTTGTGTCACGGTAGACCAGACAGCAGCTACAATGCAGAGACAGCGCACACGCGACAAGAGACTCAGACGGTCGGGGTTAATTTCGTTCTGACAGCTTGCCCAAATGTCGAACGACGCAACAGATTGTAAGTCTCCAACTGGAGTAGAGCCTATTAACCATGAGTATGCTTTGTGACGTGACCCTTCTTGATTCATACAATGTCAAAGTGCTGCTAGGTTATTGCTAGCGCCAGGTAGCCTTTTCACTAATACTTCCACGATAACCTTTGCATTATGTAACCATTGACGCTGTATACACAATCGATCATGAATAGGCAGTCATTCCAGATCTACTTCCTTGCACCAGTAGATAATTCTGTTCATAAACAATGGCTGTTCCCTCAGGCCCCAACTCGGTACCTGCGACATTCACTTCTCAACACCCAGGCATTCTCGATTTCTTGTACTTTCGACCCAGGTTATCTCCAACCAGAAACTTTCTTCCGACTCGATCAATATCTGCAAAATGTTCACAACACCCATCGTCAAAAAGTACAGAATCTTTGTCCCTGGGGCAGAGAACTTATTTTCAACCACATTCGCGCCTTCTGGGCTCGGGGAAAATGAGGTTCTGAACAGTTTATCCGAAGATGAGACTACTGTAGGCCTTGGTTTACCTCCCGTTGTAAGTGCCTCACACGCTGCTCAAGTGATAACTTCTAACCATATTTCACAGCCTCAAAGGTCCGCTCAAGACCCTAGTACCAAGAAACGCAAAGCCGAACGCTTCGCCGCCAATGATGACTCAATAAACGAGCTCGGGAGGTCTCACCAACATAAGAAGATCAAGGAGAGTGAAAAGACTGATAAGGACAAAGCCGCACGACGTTACCACACTCTCGCAGTCGCTGCGTCAGTGAAACCGTCCATCGATACTGACAAGATCTTCGAAAGCATGAGGAAGCAGAGGCACATTCCTGTACCGAAGTTTGTTCCAACCGGCCACGAGCGCCGCCGCGAAGTAAATCTCTTAGCCCGGAAGCATGTTCAACATGTCGCTCCTGCCATGTCCGCCAATATTGAGACGAACCGCGACGTTCATGGCGGTATGAATAAGTTCGACTGGGCTGAGGGCAGGCGCGAGATCCCGAAAAATCTGATCAAGACCCCTGACCACAAATTCGAGAAGCGCTTTGACGATGATGACGCAAACATTAGCTGGCTCACTATTCCCTTCTCAATCAAAACGATCAACATCGGTGGAACTTTGATCTCGGTCGCTGATATTGTAGATAAGCCTTTCCTACATCCGGAGTTTACTCTCATAGAAGCGATCATGGGTACACATGCGAAGACAGGAAAAGAGGTGGTCAAGGCATACAAGCTCAAATACGAGAAGATGGAGTGTGATCAGGCTGTCGCGCGAGCGCACACCATGCTAAAGCAACAGAAGGACGCGGAGAAGCAAGCTAGAAGGGACGAGGCTGCACGGAAACGAGCCACTAAGCGGGTCGGTCTCTCAAAGGCAGCTATGGACAGTCACGCCGCTGCTAAAGATCGGAAGAAGAAGCAGGCTCAGGCTCGAGCTGAGAAGGAAGGTGGGTTCTTCTAGTGACAGAAAGCTATGAGTAACATTCTGATATAATTGTACAACGCTGTTCCAAGCCAAGGATACGTATCATCCACTCTCATTTTATTGTTCTCTTTGCTGATGATAAACGACCATATCATACATGAAGATCTTCCAAGACCAATCTACATTTCTAAACCCCGTCACTTGTGATGTGATCATCTCAACTGTCACATGCTCTGTGCGTCTTGGAGGCGCCACAACCTTGCCTCAAATGTAATTCAGGGAGTCCAATACTTCAGCCGCCACTCTCTTACCTGCGCTTATCGCCCCATCCATGTAACCTCGCCAAAAGAGTGATGTCTCCACTCCAGCGAAATGAATGCCCTCGAATGGCGTTGCAATGTATGGGCCGTACTTGGTAAGCGTTCCAGGAGGGAAGTTGCTGTTATATCCGCCGCGTGTGTATTCTTCCTGGTCCCACTGCTGGATGATCCAGTGTGTAGGGGCTGAAGCCTTTGGCCCGAATATGTTTACGAAGTCTTTGGTGACCATAGCCTGAATATCTTTTTGGGATTTCCCGTCGATCTTGCGTGCCTGATCCGCTGGGATAAACGCTAGTAGGACGCCGGAGGACCCATCTTCGGGTGAGACATCATATGTACTCACTACAAGTCCTGTATCACTGAAGGCTTGGCCGTTCAGCCCATCAGCCCTCCAAAAGGGAGTCTTGTACTTCGCGATAGCTTTGGCAACCGAACCCATAGGCATCCGCTGCGAGATTTGGTCTCGTCCTGCGGGCATCGGAGGAACCCACTGTATCCTTGATGACATGACAGGCGGCATAGCGACTACAACCTTCTTTGATGTCACAGTTCCGGCATCTGTGCTGATCTCGTATCCATGTTCAGTTTTCCTGACGATACGTACTGGCGCATTGAGCTTTACATGTTCAGAGCCAAGGAGTTCCGAGATTTTGATAGCAATGCTCTGGCATCCTCCTTTGCAGATCATCGATTCAGCACCATCGACCGAGCTAGTAACCTGGTTGAATGATCCCGACCCAGTTTCGTTTCGCGACGTGCCAATGCTAAGAAGAGTCGAGAGGAAAGAAACCTCGCCTGATTCTTCGCAGAAGCCAGTCGAAGCTGCGATGTCGAACACAAACCTCGCTGTGGACGAGAGATTCTTCGTGTCAAGCCAAGACGCGAATGTTTGGCTATCCCATTCGTTGGCTCGGCTATGGTTCCAGGGTGCCACGGGGTTAATCTCGCTCGCAAGGTCATTGAGTAGCATCTCAGTGGTTGCCACCTGAGTGAGACTGGCAGCATCCACAGGTAAATCTCCGGTGACACTGGAATCCGAGGAGAACTTCGAACGGGTGTTGTTGATGAATAGAACGGTGCTTCCGTTGTTGTATGTAGGAATGAGCTCGACGCCCATCTCTTTGGCCATAGCGACCATGTTGGTTTGGGCCGCGCCAACAAACTGAGCTCCTCGATACGTCACAGTACCGTCTGGAAACTTGTCATCGAAGACGCGACCACCGACTCGGTCATATGCTTCCAGTACAACGATAGATTTGTTTGCTGCCTGTAACTCCTTTGCAGCAGTGAGTCCTGAGAAGCCGGCTCCGATGATGGCAACATCGACATGGGGATGGATAGTACCAGTTGCAAGAGTTGGAAAATTATAGTAGCTGGATGCTAGCAGGAGGGATGGTAGAACTTTGATTGCCATTTTGACGGAGTTGCTTTGTTGTAGATCCAAGAGGTGAGTGTGAGACTTTTGCTGTAGGAGCTACGGATACTTATAGAGGCGACGCAGCGATGTATCATCAAACTGTCTCTAGAAAGCGCTTTAGTCCTCTCGAGATGTCACGGGCTGCCGCATAGCGATCTTGGCATGCGCGATATAGGAAAGCTCTTGGCTCTGGCGTCCGCTCCGGCCGTCTCGGACCATACAGAATTGAAGCGTTTGTTCTGGACAAGGGTGCCGATTGGATCACCGGAATCTACATTTTTTGACTCCTCAAACATCGGTGTGTCCATTGGGGAAGGGCCTAAGTCATCACAATTTACGCACTCCCTTCCACGGGGCCCGCCGGACCCTCGGACGCCGTGGCGAAGCAACATAGTTTCCACGTATCCCTCAAGATATGTGCACATTATCCTAGACCTTGAAATAGTACAAGGACTCTCGTAACATTAGGCACTTCTCCAGCTTATCGGCCGGTCGTGTATTGTGCGTGATGAGTCTCAAGACGCCGACATTTCCGGCGCCTCGGACGCCGCAGAGATCGCAACATCCCTACCACCTACTAGGTTCCTGTGCAACATGACTTAAGGCACCTAAGTTGTATAAGAACACCAAGATTCTACGGCTGGAATGATATATCGACACTGACAGGAAACATACTGCTCTTCGACCTCATATAGTGCGCTATTGCTATCATTGCTATACTGAACCATCCCTTGTTAGCTATCTAAGAGGTTTTCAAGATGACCACAAACTGTCACGGTACGTTAGAAAAATGTCGAAGGACCCGATTTGTGCTGTGCTCTAATAGCAGATCAAACAGTTCTTCGCGTGCCTAAAACGCAATGGGACTTTTGTCCTTCGATCGCAGCTGCGTATGTGTTTGCTGTTCTATTCGCAGTAGCTACACTTGTGCATCTTGCCCAGGCCCTCTTGTATCGCAAAGTGTACTGTTGGGCCATTATCATGGGAAATTTGCTCCAGTTCATCGCCTACGTTTTGCGAGTGTTGAGCATCAACAACGCCGACAGTCTAGGGCTTTACTCTGGGTGGTTTGTACTCATCGCGGTGAGTGATTGCCTTACGAACAGGATAGCAAGTTCTGACAAGACAGATTGCTCCGGTCTGGCTCAATGCTTTCGTTTACATGGTGATGGGTCGAATGGTTTGGAATTGTACCTCTACCGGCAAATTGGGATTCCTCAGTGCGTGGAGGTTTGGCCAGGTCTTCTTAGGTTTGGATATCCTGTAAGTCTTCCAATCACAAGAGCAACGGAAGGTAATCTAATGATCCTGATTCAGTGCTCTTGTTATCCAGCTCTACGGCGCAGCCACAGCTGCGGATACGACTGCGAAGCCAAGTACTATTCTACAAGGCATGCATTAATGAACGATGAGATACATCTGGTTGATACTAACTGTTCATCAAGGACTACATACTTACATGGGAGGGCTTGGCGTTCAGCAGTTCTTCATTTGCGTGTTCCTGGTCTTCTCGCTGCGTCTCTATGGATGCATACGAGGAACCAGTACAGGGATCCAGCAGAAGCAGTTTATCAGGCTACTCTGTGTCGAGTATGCAGTCATAGTGCTCATAACTGTAAGCTCTGGCCCGCTTCGGTGACGTTGCTCAATAAAGAACTGCTCATAACCATCTTCCAGGCGCGCATCATATTTCGACTTATTGAGTACTCTAATGGCATCCACAGTTCGATTCCCAGGCACGAGGTGTACCAATACTGTCTCGACTCCTTGCTGATGTTGATCGGATCTACGCTGTTCAATGTGGTGCACCCTGGCCGGATTATGCCTGGGGTAGCACACGACCTTCCGCCCCGGGTAGACAGAAAAATGCGTGACTCTTCGAAGCAGAGAGGAAACCTACTTAGCCTGGAAAGTTTTCGCGGAAACGAGAGAGCGTGATGTGCTTCGCAATTGAGTTCAAGAGTTCGACGATGTAGTGTTATGTCAACAAGAATAAAACATGTAATGAATACGCTCATTGTCATAATGAACGTGCTGGTGATAAGCCGTAGGTACAACACTATCGGGTTGCGCAGTATTGTATCGCAGTCGAAGTGGTAAATAGGCTCATTTCTGCTAGGTGCGAAATATCATCATGCAAACAGCTCTCAGCAAGTTTCCAGAATTCGAGTGGTTCCATCAACATAGCATTTCTCTGCCTCAGCCGTATCAAGACTCGCCTCGAATGCTTCCCCCACATCTTAATACGGGGATACTAACGCAGTACGTCTGCAACCGATTCAGTTGATCCCAGCCAGTTAGTCCAAAAACTAAAAGTATCTAAGTCAAGACTACCCTCAGTGCCAGCTGCGCCAGGAAATACGGAACCATTCCAGGCAGCAGGAATTTCGTGGCAGACCGTCTGCCGATCTGACGCAGTCGCAATGGGTTTCGTTGTAAAGACTAGTGAGCCATCCTCGTGCTGCTCCAGTCCATTGAAGCTTTTCCGTGAAGCTATCAGCGTCTCTGCCGTGTTGAGGAAAGATTTGCAAATGAAATAGAGGCGGGAGGATCCAGGAGAGCAGTCTTGAAAGTAGGCCAGTGATTCGACAGTATCTTCAAGAAGTTTCAGATCTCTGTCGTTGGCCGTGGCTATGGCATGGGTAAACACAACAAGATACGGTGTGAAGGAAGGGATCAGCAAAGTGCTACAGAGTGGATATTAGTTAGAAATCAAGTGAAAAAAAAACGAGAATGACGAGTACAGTGCCACTGACTCCAACTTACTTCTTAACGTAGCCTATCTTTTGGTAAATGCTGCACGTTCTGAGGCCGATAGAGCATTGTAGGTGACTTTCGAGACTCTTTCTTGAAGCGTCGTAGCATCGGCTAGATATTTCTACAGTATCGTAGAAGCGGGTTTCGGCTCTATACACGACTGACAACACCGCGTAGACGATGAAGTCTGCACTTTCTTTAGCCATCTGTAATACTTCAGAATAGTATGCTCCGGACGGATCAAGCTGCGGTTTTGTTAGAGATGATGTTCCAGCGTTACAATAGTGTAATAGTACCAGCTGTAGCTCCTCCCGTAAATTGATTATTCGTGCCGAAAGCTCTTCCACAAAACACGACCGTTTGTATTGAGAATGCTTTGTTGCACTTGCTGAGTATAGTTGGTCGTAGGTGTCACCTTGAATCCGGGCAAACCGGTAGCAGATATGGGTATACACATCCCAAGGCCACTGCCCGGGGTCTGAAGAAAGCATAAATGGCTCGGCGTCGATGTCATTGTCGTTGAAATTGGAAGATCGGCCCAGAACGAGGGATAGGTTCTTGTCGATTGCGTAGAGACCATAAAAAGCATGACGCTTAGACTGGGCTACTTCTGGCGTGTCGTTGCGATAGGACGACTCCCGATGATAGCCCAGCGTCTGACACATAGTCTTTGCTGCGGAGACGTACATCCAGCACAAGGAAAGTTGTGACTCCTCCTGGGCTCCATATGCCTGCAACACCGTAAGTAGGAGGCTCAGACGACAGGTGTGAGTACCCATACTGCTAAGTAGAGAGCTTGAACATTCTCGAATGTTGGCACAAGGAAGCTTTCGTAGCTCCGTAAGCACTGCTGGAAATTTGCCTTGCAAACCTTTGCGCAGTCCTCAAGGTCGTATCCCGAAAACATGGGGTCGTCATGCTGAGAGAGGTCTTGGAAGATGTGAAAGAGCACACCATGCATTAAAGCCAGTGACCCCACAGATAGCTCCTCTACCGGGAAGTACACCTTCTGACAGAGTTGTTCAAACCGCGTGTAATCGGTCCAGCTACTTGAGACTGCAGATAATAGTGGTGTCGCTAGTAACCGTTAGCGCTTGTTGTGGACGAGAATCACCAGGACAACCTTTCGCCTTCTTGACTACGGCAATAACAACATCGGCCGGCAGCAAGCTGACCTTCCTCTGAATGCCCTTGTTATGATGATCTGTGTTATCTTGCTGCTCCGATATCTCAATGGCGACCAGGTTATTATGTAATGACGACAAAGCCGATCTTACTTCGGGATCTGGGTTTGTTCTTAGTATGCTGCTGGCAGCTCTGCTGGCCTCCAAGGTCTCCTTGTTGAATGATGACTCCCCTTCGAATGGAGTCAGTGGTCTAGAGGTCTCTTGATTCGTTGTTGACGTTGTTGAGGACCGAATGTCGTCGTTATCTGACGACCTATGCGCGATGACTTTGAGATCTCCTTCAATAGCACGGAGACGCTCTTGAATTACTTCAAGTTGCTTCTCGCTAGGGTTCTTAGAGATAACATCGTAAGGACAGAGGTTTCGCGCGACATACTACTGGTTTGATATGACAATGCGAGGGCGCTGCTCGGTTGTTCTTGAAGTGGGCTGACATTGCACACCCAGGATCTGGCAGCTCGAACATGGGAAGTTCTTGTTGCAGCGCGTCTGCATACACTTAGCCTGATGTCGCATGATGTTTGCCAACTCCATGCTTACCTTTCTGGCACGACAGTTCTCACACTAGTGTGAATGTCAGCTTCGATCTCCTAAATACGCTAGTAGCAAGAAGAGTAATTTACTGCACGAGACAAAGATGCGACCTGCTCGTTACGGACGCTCGGCTCCGCCATGTTGTGGTGGATAATGTTGACTGTCGTAGATTGGCCTGGTGTGAATGCAAGAGTGGGCGATGTTGTTCTCAGTTATCCCTCGGCTTGCGCGGACCCCGATGCTGGCGCCCGCGGCTAGGGTCCTCGGACTCCGATAAAGCTCGCACCGGTCAACTAGTTTTACGCTGCTACTCAATCGCGAAAGTTGCTCAGCGCATTCCAAAATGCAGCCAACTTAGTAGTTTTGATGCTTCAGCCACCACGCGGTCAACGTACACATCTCATGTCTTATACCATACTTTACAACGTATGATACCAATGCGCTGCCTTCCCCTGTATTCGGTCCGATGATGCTACGATGCTGGAGTACTCTGTGCACTGGATAAGCTTACTGGTCCCTAGGGCTCCTCTCAATCTCGACAGCAGATCTCAGCTCGGAAAGCTAGGCTCACCGAAGGGTATTCCAAAAGCTCATTTACAGGTTCTTCAGTCCCAAGCATAACTCTACATTCACCTTCGTGCCTTCATCAATGCCTGCAACCCAGTCCCCGTTTGAATCTCCAGAAGAAGGCGCTCCTATCTCCCAGGAGAAGCGATTAGGAGACCGACTTGTATTGGGACTCGAGAAAATAGGTGGCTCCCTCGATAACTTCTCGAATCGAATCGGATCTGAAGCGTGGTGGCCTACTACGCTTGATCATGAGTGCGAGAAAGCGGCTCGAATATTGTCATCGTTCTGCAGTATGATTACTCTACCAGCTCAAGAAAAGGTCGCTAACTTTTCGCAGAGGATGGTTGCTATCCCGAGCGGTCTTCAGCACCTGATTCCCTAGGTCCAAAAAGTAAACCGAAGATTGTGGTTAAGATACCGCAAAGGGTATTCCAAAACTGTGTCGGGCTCGCTATCTTCACTGTCATGCGCAGTGGGTTTTCAATCTCCACTGCTGGTGGATCTGGCGTCGTCATTGCTAGGAAAGAAGACGGTGACTGGTCTCCACCGTCTGGAATCCACGTCCAAACTTTGGGTCTTGGTTTCATGGTTGGGATCGATATATACGACTGTATTGTCGTAATCAACAGCTACGAAGCACTCAAATCATTCAACAGATTCCGTTTTACGCTAGGTGGTGAGATAAGTGCTGTAGCAGGGCCAATAGGGGTTGGTGGGCTATTAGAGGTCGAACTGTCCGAAACACACAAGCCTCTATGGACTTATATGAAGAGCCGAGGAATCTACTGTGGGCTTCAGTTGGACACGACTATCGTCATCGAGAGATACAATGAGAACGCAAGATTCTATGGCAAGAAGATCTCTATCGACGAGATCTTCGCAGGCCAGGTTACAAACGTTCCACTTCAGGCAAAGATGCTCATGGAAGCAGCACGTAGGGCGGAGGGGCGAGTATGAGTGTTACCAGTAACTGCCTAGGATTGCACTAAGATCGCAGATTAGCTCCCACCAGATATTGCGAAGGAAAGAGATCGTATGAAGACTACCTAGCATTGTCATTTGAAACAGCTACTTTAGCTACGCGAGCATTGGTGCTCCAGCATCCATTCCACCACGGTCATGAACACTCTACGCCAACCCCTTCTCAAGCGTCCAAGTAGCATCAGCATTGAACGACGCCGTAGCATCAAAGTCATGAACACCCCCATTACTCGCAATATCCCCGATATTGTTGTAATGCCTGATGTACCGAGTGGGATACCCCCATGCGCGGATCGAACTACCAGAACCAGAAAACCCAGTCTGGGGACAGAACGTCGCATCCTCCTTGAACGCCTTACTTCCATCACTCGCCTGCACCTGCAACACGAAGTTGTAGTGACGAATATAGCTTCCAGCCGTATCCTTTGACTCAAACGAGAAGCAAGCACTGTTCGCAAGACCAGCGCGCACTGTCCAACTAGCCTGTCTCTTCAACAACGCGGTGCTGCTCGAAGACACAACCTGCGTGTTCACTGTCGCGCCGTTATGCGCGAGATACCGGTCTGTGTATCCAGCTGTTGTCGCGCGGAGCGAGATCGAAGAACCGACTGTGTATGCCGGACCGCTGGTCAATGACGTCGTTGCATATTTCGCCGCAACGACGTTTGCTTGGACCGCGCTCTCCGTTGCATCGGTTGGGTAACCGGATGTCATGACGCCTTCGTAAAAGGTTCCCTGAGCACCGTTGCTGTTATCACCACCGATACCGAGGATGATGGCGCCTTCTTTGCTCATGGGGTTGTAGCCTGAAGCACTGGGGCGCGCGCCATTGTAGTATGTTGACAGTGCGCCGGAGGCAGCATTACCTCCCTTGATAGCCCACTTGTTTGCTCCGCCCTTGAGGAGGGTGGTCAAGAAGCGGTAGGATACTGAAGGGTCGGCAGGATTGTTCTTTGGGTTCGCGCCGGAGAAAAGACCATTTTCCAGATCGGCCATGACCCAGGGTCCACTGCCGGAACCGGAGCCCCAAACGGTGTTGTCGCCAAAGTAGATGGCTTCCATGTGTCCATTACCTGCGGCATTTGTTAGTTGGGATTGAAGGCGTCGTTTTGTGCCATTTACCTGTGTCGAGGTTGTTGGTTTCTGCGTTTCCATAATCGAAACAACACGCGCCATTGTAATGCGTGCCATCAAGCACAGCATACATGCCCTCTGCTGCGTCACCAGTCGCCGAACCGCTCACTTTGTTATTGCGATAGCCAGTACCCGGGCTTACAAAGACGCCATACGCCTTCTGACCGTTTAGCGTGACTGGTGCACCATCAGCTGCAGCCAAGTTGTCATAGCCGTTAGCTTCTGGGCCCTTGAAGCCTCCTGGTGGAGCTTGTGTGAGGTGGTTGCCACGACCAGACTGGTCGTAAATGATAGTGATGAGGCAAGTGGTGTTAGCGCAGAATTTGTCTTGCGTTGCTGCATTAGCAACACCACCAGCAGACAGAGGTGCGACGTTGGTGGTAGCGCCGTCAGAGCCGCGCTTGACCTGGTAGAGGGAGCCGCTGAAGGAGCTGTACAAGGCGCGGGTGGTGCTGTGAGCAGCGATGCAAGGGGTATTGCCGGTGGCGTAGATATCGCAGGGTCCAGCGGCAACAACCGAAGCCGTAGCCGCAAGGCCTAGAACGAGGGTGTTCCTTTGCGAAGGCATATCTGGGTTTTGTCGCGATTGGCACAAGAGGATTGATCGTCTGGATCAACCAAAAAGTTTGTACATGGGCGATATTTAAACAAATGGCGTTGCATCGTTGTTGACATGGTCATCTAAATCGCTGCAACTCTCCGTCCGTACACTAGATGAGAATAGAAGCTCGATATCCGGGGTATGGAGTTTTCCCTCCAACAGCGACGAAGCATGTACCTTTACGAGCGCTAATATGTCACGAGGTTGCAACTCCAGGTTTTCCGCGGCGTGCCTCCCCAAGATTTTGGTGTATATTTTGCGGGGATGACAGGGTTTACGGTCGTAGTACGGTTGTAGTGCCGGAAGATTTAAGCTTTTGCCGAGGAACATCTGTCGAGAGACAAGACCGAAGCTAGCGCTCGTAAACAGGCGTTCCAAGCCCGGGGTAAGCTCCGATGCGTTCAAACATTTGAACGTAACTTCCCATGAGGAATCGGTTGGTATCCTCTATACTTCACAACGCTCCACATTCTAGACTTTGCGCGATTGGCCGCTACATCGATATCCTGTTTGCAACCACTTTGCCGTCCTTCCAAGCTTTCTGGTAGTTGTGTAGGTGTACGAGAGTGACGTAGTAGGTGGTTTCGAAACGCCTCTTTAGTGGACTCATGTATTCTGAAATACATTAGTAGCGGTCCCACGATGGAAGGAGTCCGGGAAATAGTGAATCGACCGCTTATATCCTGCTTATTCTTGGCGCCTTCCTTGTTGGGACGATGGGTTTTCCTCGGTTGGCGTGGCCGATGTTCGCCGGGTAAATTGGAAAACGGTATACCTATGGTCTCAAACCCAGAAAGAGTTCGCAAAGAACAAAGCTACTCTGGTATGGAAACAAAGTGCCGCCAAAATGGATGATAAGATTCGTGATGGCGTCATTGATGTCCGAAATTCTGAATGAGTGTGAGCCGTCAACAATCGACGTCCAACAAAGCCCGGGTTGAGTAGACGCATGTGCGATCATGGCAACGCATTGAATCATGTGTGTTGTCAGCTTATCGTCAATAAAAGGACGACCAGGCCCCATTGAATTACTTCAAAGTCTAACGACGAACTCCTTATACGGTAGTTGAACATGGTATCATATGCTAAAGTGATGCAAAAAGAAGCCACCAGAAATATAGCGCCGCAGGAATTCCGCTCGTGATTCCGAATAGGAGCAAGGCATACATGCTCTTCATGCGCATCGTATCCGATTCCGATCCGACGCGCCCATCACGATCATGGGTTTGTCGTGCGTCACCGATCGTGTCCGCGAGATCTTGGCGCTAATGGTGGTAACGGCATGTGGTTCTCGTGGAGGTCTCCATGGGTCGCGTATCGCGAAGGACGTCTTTGTCCCGACTCGACTTGTAGTTCCACCTCGCGTTCCACCGTAATTGTCATATCCGAATCCAGCTCTTCTGCCGAACTTCTTTTAATCTTGCCCCAAAGACGCGACATGCCCTTCTTTGGCGATTCCTCCTCTTCCAAGATCGCTTCTTGACTACTGCCTCGCTCCAGATCGCCTTCCGTATCAGCCCAATGTTTCATCTCATAGCTCTGTCCTTTGTCGTTTGCGAGTTCCGGTACACTGCGGGGTGCTGTGGATCGTCGCCTCGAGCCATTTGACGCTGACGGATTGGCGGTTAGTGTCTTCGATGAATCGCCGGCCGATTTCTTGAAGGATATGCCACCTGAGAGAGATTTTGAAAGACTGAAGGGTATCATCGCGAAGAGTGGTTTGAGTACGGGGGCCGAGGCGCATATCTGTTCTTGGTGAGAATCGTTGCAAAGTCCGGACATGCGAAACTTACCACTCCCAAATCAATCTCCACTGCAGCTGCAATCCAAAGTGGATATGCGTACCAGGTCTGGTCGTACTCATTGAAGAGGCTTCGGTAGATATACCATGTACGGACGACGCCGGCAGCCGTAACAATCAATCCCATACCGAATAGCGATGCTACAGCCATGCGCTCACGGAACCGCATATGAAGCTGAACACTATTAACCACAGCCTCGTGTTTGGAATGTTCAAATCAACTTACACCAAGAACCAAGGGTATCGGCGTTATCGTGGTAAGGAGATCTGCGACACAGCTCATGATGCCGCAAATGAGGGTCATGACCGCTTCGTCCATGCAGGTGTCTGCGGGAGCACCGATGGTCCAGTAATTCTTTACGGGAGTGCAGAAGAAAATGCCGATGAACGTCCATGATATGAAGAGGCCAATCGTATAGGCGACGTTGGCGTGGATCGCCCATTTGAACCATCTATCGCAAAGTTGTCAGTACGTCGAGTTTGTGAATCATGTCAATGGCCACTTACGACTTTCCAGTGTCTGTGACCAGTCGGTAATAGAAGCAATGTAGAGAAAGTCTCGTGAATGTCGCTGCCGCTACGAAAACGACCTTGGCCGTCAAGGCGATCTTTGAGGTTGGCACGAACATAGCAAAGGGTATATCCCATACATGTCTGTCGCGATAAGTCAGCAATGTCTTGGGCTGATGCGATACGCGATGCCTACCTATTCCACCCGAATCTTTGATTCGCTAGGATAACAACAGCAGTGAGACCGATCGTGAAGAGCAGCGCAAGCAAGATGAAAACATCATCAATACCGAACCATCTCTTTATTACTATACGCGTATATATACGAGCAACCACAGTGATTACTGCCAGCGATATGAAGATGGAGTTGACAATGAGAAGTGCAGGGCCACGCGTGACTGGGTTGTCGTAATTTGGAGTAGGCCAGGACAAGAGGACATCCACTGGTGGCAGCTGCATACTGGATTATCTTGGGCCTGCCCGGGGGAGTATGCGAGACATGCGGGCGTAGACGATTGACGAGCTGCAGGTAGGCGGGCAAGATCAAAGAGACAAGATCGAGGACGCGGGTCGGAACTAGCACAGGGCCTCGATGTTATGTTCAGTGGAGAGTGGGGCTTTGCAGCACATGGCCGTTAGCTCCATCCATGTCGTGAAGCGCACATTGGAGCTTTGGCTACCGTTACGACGCTGGTGTCGCACTGGCTTCGAAGCTTGGCTGGTACACGGACCGTACGTTAGGCACAATAATCTGGCGTATCAGCGGGGTGCTACGTGTGGCGCACAAACTCTCCGCGAAGTGTGGAACCGAGAATCACAACGAATGGTTCTGCATGACCGCACCATCCAGGCATCATAGCCAACACCTAGACGCGTTCTTACTATCAAGATCTGCCCAGGCATTCAAATTGCATCTTCATAGCCTCGTAGAGTAGTCTCTTGTGGTTCCTTAGCAAAGGGGGGTGCTCCATGGCCATCGCTGGAGAACCGGAACCCAATTTCCGCCTCGCCGCACTACGAGAAATGCCGCCACAGCAGCGAAAATGGACTTTCCTTGCCTGAGGACGCGGTCATGTCTCAGGGTTTTCGTTCGAGTCGTGCAACCTGTAGCTACGGGAACTAGGTCTTGGCCACGTTGGAAGCATTTGGCAGGCACCATCTGAGCCAGTCCGGTAATAACAGGGTTTGGGTGTGTCATCGAGAGTTTCCAGACCCTGAAACCATGTGTTGAAAGTAGCAGTCGGCGCGAAACATGATGTTGTTCAAAGGTTCAGTGGTTCTGGAGGGAAGGTAAGCCAGAGACTCCGTGCAGCTCCGATCAGGCGCCCAGCACTAGCGTGGGCCGCATCAAGCTTAGACCCGGATCTTTGTCACCCTGCAGCGATCCACTGATGTCCGCCCACAGTAAGTCCCCATCGTCAAACCTAAAATTGCGGAGACACCTTGATCTAATTGCGATCCGTTGAGTTCACGACGACTGTGCCACCTGCACTTTGCTCTTCCAGCACCTCCTGGCGCAACTATCTCCGGAGGCACCGCCATAACGGGAACCAGGGACTGGCTGACAGCGGAATGGCTGTGGCGTTGAGTTTTGCCATTATCCAACAATATCGATAGAACATGCGGTTTTGGTGTTCCTAGGTGCAGTGCATAATACGCCGACACCAAGGTACTGCAGCTTACGCGTGCCGTCGCATTTCACAGCACTCGCCTTTTGGTGACTGAGGTGCGGTGTACGACCAGAGTGTTAACTGAATCTTCGACCTATGACGCCTACATGTGAGTGTAAAGAATCCTTTACTTTTATCTCGGTTCCGAAAGCCGTGCCGCTGGACCCATATGCAAAATCCTCCGCATCGGCGAGGCATTCACGATCAGGCCCCTGACTCGACATGAGGCTCCCGAGACAAGGGTGGGTCTGCGAGGCTGCCAGCTGATCGCGAGGCTTGAGCAGTGCGGCGTGCTCTCGAGACGGGGCACGGCATGGCACGGTCGTCAATTCTCATCCAGTTATGCCCGTTGCAATGCCGGCTCAGCGACTCCCTCAGGCCCAATGCGATATCATAGCAGGTGCGCGCGATCGATCCATGGGGTTTGTTGCAGCAAGAGTACGCAATGCACCCGCGTTGATTGGGGTTCTCTCGTTTATCTCATCTGTAGCAATGATCCAAGCCAGGAACATGATTCGGCCCCGGCCCCCTCAATTCTTGGGTACACATGCAGATCCATCAACAACGCACGCTCCGCGAACAAAAGCAAAATAAGGCGTCCAATGTGCAGGAAACCAAGAAACACCGACCGTGAGCCTTCTACGTGGAGCAAAAAGGATCATGCCATGTTCCTCATTCGGATCAGCCCATTCTCAATCCGCATCTCCGGCCACGTGTGAGTTTTACGCCATGGCGCAAGCCATTCTATCTGACGCGCTGCATCGGCCCTTTTGATACACAGTTTTTGCCAGGCTACTCCTTGTGTTCAGACGAACTAAAGAGACTGAGAGTCAGGCACAACACTCGCCCATGTATTTTGCCGCTCCCATTGCCGGTCCTAAACTACGGGTGCTTGCATGCGATCCGCTATGGTGGGTAACATATGCATCCAACATGCCTTTCTTCGCATTCCCAATGAGTTCAGCACTAGTGGACGAAACAGAGGTTTTGACAGCTACTAGTAGCATTTTTGTCGTGATACATGTCAGGGATAGTCGGTGGCAACGCATGTTGGAAGCGCAAAGTGGCTAAAGGTGTTTGCACAACGAGGTGTAGTCACGTAGGTATGTGTAACAAAACGCCAATGGATTACTACATCCTTACATCCTCAGCCCTGATATTGTTTAGGTAGTAGACGCTGAGTCTTCCAAGTTATACGTGTGCTCCTACCAAGGACAGTCACCACATGGCAGAATGGCGTCTCATGCTAATGTTAAGCGCAAGATGTTCATAGAACTACTTCATTCGGCAGCCACTGCGTGCAAGTCTCATGTCTCCACCTGGTAGTACCCGTGCTGATCTCCCGATGAATCCACCTTCTCGCGACACTGGTGCTAGAACACGGCTCTTGCGCAAATGACTACGCAAGTGACCATGTCGCATACATAAAACCATGAACAGTTTTTCAGGATCATACAAAGGGTCCACTTCCTCAGCATCTTCCACTCGCCCATCCCTCCACGAAACGTTGCAAATCAATTCATTCATGCCGCCTGAAGATCTTCTTCGTCAAAGCCACAAAGGTGTCGCGCACCGATCGTCCCAAAGGAGGATTACTGGAAAAGTCGTACCAAGGCTTCCCTGCTCCGTGTTCGGTGTCCTGCTTACATCGATCGAAAAGATGCTTCAAATTTTTTGAAATCTGTGGATCACCCGGCTCACGCTGCTGGTCCAATCTCCCATGTAGTTTGTCCCACTCGACTCCTTTGCATTCCCCGTTGCGATGGCAAAAGCGTTCCCAGTCTTCGGAATACATGAGACCAGTGTGAACGAGGAAGGGTTCAGTCTCGTCTGCCTGGTAGGTCCATGTACCGTCGTTCCAGCCAAAGTTGCCGCACATGCATGGGTAGTTGCGAGCTCTCTTGTCCCAATCGCTGGAGATGGCTTCGCCGCCTGGATTTACACAGATTGGTAGGCTAAAACCACCTGGAACTTTTCCAAGATTCTTGCCCATCGCTAGATCGCGCTTCGCAGCCTCGGATATCATGTGGTAGTCCCGGTTGCGTATGGCGTCTTGCAGTTTGTTCTCATGAACAAATATTGCAGAACGAACGATATCCTCTTTGGTGATGCCGTGTGGGGTAGGCCGCCCTGATTTCGAGTCGAAGTTTCGATAGCCAGTAGGGCCGTGGATGAGGGCCATGTCATTTTGCCGATGATCGTACTCCCTAGAGACTTCGAGGGCATACATGTAGTATACAGAATTTGGATGGTCTGGCAAGCAAGCTCTGTTCTCTTGAGGTCCACGCGTATCCCACTCACAATATCCAGTCTGTCCATTTGCCTGAACAATGTATGATCTCTCCTGTGCCCAGATTCCATTGAGAGTGGTGGAAAAGATTGTCCTGAGGAACGACTCTTGGAGAGGTTGTTGGATGTTTTCGTCTCTCCTGAAGAAGTATTCACCTGCTATGACATCTACCAGATCTTGACCAGGTGTGTTAGGTCGATGCCCCATGATCGACTGCATGCCAAACGTTTCATTGCTAATCATAGCATGGCGGAACTCGTTGAGCGACGAGTGTATGTTCTCTTCTAGATTGGAACTGATGTATCTGGGATCAGGACGAACGGCATTGAACGAACCAACAACCGAGACGTAGGTAGCTGTCAATAAGTTTGTCATCGCAACTCCGGTCGTCGCTGCGATACCGAACACGGGAAGCGCCATTACCCCGCCAGCCATTAATCCTGCTCCTCCAACAATGGCCATTGCTAGTTTCCCATACCTTCTCCGATCCATGAGTTTCTTCTGGAGTTGCCTCTCTATGCGCGGCGAAGCGCTATATGTCCTGATAAGTTCAGGGATCTGGCCGTCAATGTACGTCGCGCCTTCGCGCATAGCCTCGCGCTGACTCTTAAAGAGATGATCGATACCAGATATCTGTTCGAAGACAAAGTATGCCATTTGTCTGTCGTATGGCGACAACTCTGGGTTCAGCAATTGACAGGACGTCAACGAACACTCCCCGACACTGTCGCAGGTCATCGAACTTGGTGGTAGATCGGGGGCGAAGTTATCGCGAAGGTACAGTGGGAATATCGTGTACCGGTAGTCACGACGGAATAGATCCACATGGACCCGGGTAAAATTGGCCACCTGGCCCCGAAAGTAGGGGCAAGATATATTACTGGGAACCTGGAGGTTACAGCTTGAGTATATACCGGTGGAAGCAAGCGAGTTCTCGGAGAGTTCGCCGGCTGAGAATTGCCTCTGAGATGGGTGAGGATGGTCGCGTTCAGCGACCGTGGTATTGGCAATGGCGAGGGCAATGTCTGCGAAAAGCAGCCACATGTAAAACAGGACCTGAAAGATCTCCATGATCTTCGTAAGGTTGTGGTTGCCGGTGTTTGTTGTAATCTCGATGCGGTATCTCGTGAGAATCTGACTGTTCTGGAAGATTAGCGGAATGAGTAAGGTAAAGCTCAACCTCGAAGGGAGGAAGGCTCTTATGCTTTAGAGCAACTATTCTTTGTGGGAGGCAGTGCCTTTCTCCCATAGTTCTCGTGTGATCTGTCTTCGGACATCTGGCATAGTATTGGTCGCCATGGATGAACAGTAGTTTGGTATTCGGCTAAGCCCAACTTCCAAGGTTGGATGGAGGCCCCACAGTCCATGTCAGCCAATGATCGCTACGCAGAGCAATGGAAATAATTGTACACTTTGAATTTGTTGGAAGAGACATAGCCACAAGACGGAAAAGGACAACGAGTAGGTTTTCTCGCTCATGAGTACCGCGGCTGTTGGAGTGAAAGTGTGATGGAATAATTCAACGAACACGATTGGGCAGCGCGGTTGCCATCCACGGATATGACCACGGAATAAAAGCAGGTCGTCGTAAAAGTGTGATGGATTGAATCTTTGGAGGATTTCCTACATAGGCGATACGCTAGTGGGTGCGACAGGCACCAAGAACAACAGATGAGATGGCACCTTCTCACGGCGGCTTCCGTTTGGCCCTGGCCATTCTCATAACCCCTCCAATGCAAGAAGGTAAAATGGCCTTTACGGAATCCCGTGACGCAACCTAGTGCACGATGATATTGATCAGTGCGAAGTTCGGTACACTCGCAAGCCCCAAGTATATAGTATCGCTCCCACGAAAATCCATCCAATCCGAGTCGGATTAGGAATGTCCTCTCGGGCAGGTGGTGATAGAAGACGGGAATACACTGTGAACTCCCAAGTGGATGGCTATAGGTCACGTCTCAAGAGTCCGCTTTCTCGAGCACCAACTTGCCACCAAGGTTCAAGTGGAAAGATTATTGACGAAGAGTATATGTTCGACAACGTCTTTCCAACTTACTGGCTTGCTTCATCACAAGTTCACACTATTCTGTATGTCTCCAACTTCTAAACCGTTTTGTCCCTGCAACCAGACGAAATTATCCATTGGCGCCTCAGCCTTGACGGTCTCCCACAACGCATCAATGCTCTCCGCTGCCTCGGCGCTCAAGTGGCCCTTCCGAATGCTCCCTACCGTCTGGATAAGCTGGTTTAATGAGCTCGCGCTAAAAATAATTCCATCCTCATCTGTCAGCGCAGAGTGATGTGCTACCCACCTGTACGCCAACTCCGCCTTCGTCACGCCCTCGTTCTCCGCAATCGCACTCCACAACTTTAGCCCCTCGCGCAGAGACGGCTTGTTGTACATGTCGTTGTACATACCACCCATGACGTCTTTATTAAACCGGCCCGCGCCCGCATCCAGATCAGTAAGCGATTTACTCAAGAAGCCGCCCGCGAGCGGCGAATAGGCATAGAAGACTATGCCCAGCTTGCGCAGCACGGGGAACAAGTCTTTCTCTAGGTGGCGCGCCATAGGGTTGTAGTTGCCTTGGTAGACTTCAGGGAGCGGATAGCCTTTTTCCTTTGCGAGGTTGTACACGCGCTGCACGTCTTGAGGCGCATAGTTGCTCAGACCGAAGCGTTTGAAGAAGCCGAGTTTGTGGGCTTCATTGATACCAGCGAGGGTATCTTCGAGTGGCACGTCGGCCGAGGGCGAGTGCATGTACACTATGTCGAACTGCTTGATGCCGCACTTTTGAATAGCCTCCTTGACGTGCGAGACTATCGTGTCCTTGCGCGCTGACCCGGGAACAAATCCGCCGGGCACTTTGGTGTCGATTGCGAATTGTGTGCGCTTCTCTTGCTTGCCAATGGCTTCTTCTGAGCCGGTGTAGAGGCGGGCTGTGTCGATTGTGGTGACGCCAGAGGTGAGCAGAGCGTCAAAGACCTTGTTCATCATGTCAGGGCTGCCCAGGGTAGCCCCGCTCATGAAAGCACTTCCTCCAAATACTATCTTGACCATGATGGCTGTTAGATACAATGTCGAGAAAATTGGTTCAGTTGTTATTTTGATTGGAAAAGGCCGATCGATCAATGCGTTGTATCTGGGAGGAAAGTTGAGTAGTTTCAACGGACAGCAGCGAGGCCCCTTGGACTTATACGTCCTCAGAACCACAACTCGCATCCAAGACCACAACTGTACAATTTCCAAGCCATCTCTGCGATTACTCAACCCCCCCTCTCCGTAATACAAGGCGGTGAGTACTGCCGCGGCGTTGTGGCAGCTAGCCCCGCAACAGATAATGAAGACGTCGCCACCGAAGGTCGTCGACCAGGGTTGATGGGGTATAATAGACATTGATCCATTTCCAATCCACTCTCGTACGAGTCTTTGATGCTCTAGGAAATGCAGGTTGGAAGTCTGGATCTGTTTTCGATTGTCTAAGACGGCCCGCCAGTCATATCCGTCTACCCAGCCTCTAGGGTCCAGGTACTAGCTTTTGTACAATCTTCTCTTGCTCTACCGTTCGAGAATGCAGAGCACAAGTACTCGGGTACATTATTTACGCGCCTGATCCACGTCCAGCTCTTTATTCGGTTGTAGGCTTAACCTCTGCACCTCTTGACACACCGTCTAGCAAGATGCTCAAACCATCGCAGTGTCTGAGAAACGGTTAGTGTATCAGTCGCGAAAGGGTCGAAGACTGTCTAGCGCAACACGCGGACAGGTCATAAGGAACTAGGTTTCTCGGTGGTAATAACGTACCCGTCACTCCGCTTCCTCCCGCCTTTCGGAGCCGATGCCCACTTCTCCGACTTCTCCGACTTCTCCGGGATGGGAGTCGGTCTTTGCATTCATGACCGATGATTGTGAATAACTACTCTAGAATTGTTGCTTAGCAATGAATAGTTGGGACCCTCTAGCGTCCGGTAATGTTGGGATATAAGAGTAATCAATTAATTCTACGGAGGATCTTGACTATATAGGCAGTACGCTAGTGGGTATAGAAGGTACCAACAACAGCACATGAGATAGTTCTTTCTTCAGTTAATAAGTACTACTGCAACTCACAACATCTATTACAATCGGCATTGAATTTCTATCCACTACTTCTCGTTTTCACCCTTTCAATCACCTAGAATATGGATCATCAGAACAAACTTCGAGTCATCATCGTCGGTTCAGGATTAGCAGGACTGACCGCCGCACGTATCCTCCGCGAACACCACCATGTCACCGTGTACGAACGTGGAGACCAAACCGCTGCAACAGGAGGACAAGGCATCTCCATCTCTCCGAACGCAGTCAAGATCCTCGAGCGCATCGGATACGATCGTGAAAAGGCCGGCGCAGTGCCGATCTATGGCTATCGGTCTTACGATAAAGAAGGCAACGTTAAGAAGGACCACGAAGTCGACTTGAAGACAAGGTATGGGGCAGATCAGTTGACGCAAAAACGATCCGACTTTAGGGATGAGCTCATGAGGCTCGCGACTGCACCTTCTGTCGAGTTGGAGATTAAAGGGAATCCAGCACACATCGTGTACGACACTAAAGTTGTCGATTTGGATGCGGAGGAAGGGAGAATAACGCTAGGAGATGGAACAACCGCTGAGGCTGACGTCGTCATTGGTTAGTATTATCACACCGCGCGAGATTTGCATGTTACAAGGTAACAAGGAGTTGCTTCCTTTTGTTATGCAGGCCGCAGGAAGGAAGACCATCGGGATAGCCGCGATGGAAGGTCGCTGATCCAAGGCGGGGCCTGGGATCACGTGACGTGCCATC